CTGCAGCTTTGATAAAATTAAGAACAATTTCCTATATTCGGTAGAAATATATGGATGTAGCTCTGCTGCAGTAAATTTTGAAGAGAATCGATTCTCCTGTTCATGTTAACAAATGTTCATAATAACTACTAGTTGAAAACAGTAGTAGGGTTTTAACTACGAAAAAAAATATTAAAAAAAAAATTTACATGTTATAAAGAATAAATTTCACCAAAATTTAAATCTTTTATTTTTATTTTATTTTTTTCTTTTGACGAAGTTCAAAATGTGGTCATTTAAATCTCAAACCTTATAATCGAAATTTGTAGAAAAAATTCGCGTTTACAATTTTATATTCAATTTTAGCACAATATTTTGTAAGTTTGAGTTAGCTCTAAAATCCCGTAGATTTTTGTGAAGTTTTTTTTACTGGCGATGCTATGCATTTTCTTTCATACAAAAAATTTTCGATTTTTTTTTAAATGGGAGAAAATAATCAACACTCACAACAACAACAAAAAATCTCACAAATCTCGTTAATTTTTGGGCTAATCCAAACTACATAACCGATTATTGCTGCGACTTCCGATTAAAAAGTTTGAAGTTTTGATGACCACTTTTTGAACTTTTTCGAGTTATTATAAATCTTGTAAAAGTATAGAAAAAGATAAACTAAAACTAAAAATAATTGTTGAAAACTTGAACCGCTAAATCGTTTATAGTTATCGGTATTCAGTATACGTTTTTAATTTCATCTAAATCTTATTATAAATAAGGATTTTTAATGTAAAAGTATTTCTCATCGCACCTGCAGCATACATTTCTAATAACATCAAAATCAGACCCTGAATACGAATTTTATGAATAACCCGACTCTAGCGCCAACTAGCGGATCCACTTTTCTTAAAAATATTTCTAATCACACCAGCAGTGTATTTTTTTAATCTCATCAAAACCGGACATAGACGAGAAATACACTCGGAGGTTTGCCATTGCCCGCCGAGGGGCGATCGTTGTTAAGAAAAAAAAAAACCTTTTTTATATATTTTTTTTGCGATGTTGATTAGACCGGGACTTGAATCCGGGCCCTGCGGAGTGGTAGCGCGCACTGCTAACCACAACACCACAGCAGCCATAGAATACAAAAATATTTATAAAAAGGTACTGCTGCCATGACAACTGAAGCTTGTGATAATTTTTATATATTTTAAATTTAAAATGTTCTTAGGTTACTTAACCAATTGTTTGGTTAATGTATGTACACAATACTTCCAGAGTAAAATATGAGCATCATGAGCATCCTCCAAATTTATACTTAGAAACGTAAGGTCTGGTACCAGCACTTCTTTCAGCAAGAGAAAAAAATGTTGGAAGGTACCGCAAAGCCTATCTTGGAAAATTTTTTCTTGGACCACTCTAATGTACATACATATGTATGTATATCTCTTTTAGCCAGTTTCACGAAAGCAATTTAAGTTGAAAATTATAAGTTTTTATTTGAATTTTATTTGATTTTTTATATAATTTTTTACTTAAACTGCTGGCGAAACCGGCTGTAAAAGAAACATGGAAATTTGCGAATATTTCAAGAATATTATTTTGCCATTAGTGTTATTTAAATAAAATTCGTAATAACTTTAAACGTAAACTGCAGTTAAGGCTCGATGGAACTGGACTACAAAGCTACACTTAAGATAAATTTTGTACAACAAAATTTTTTGGGAGCGAGAACACCATCAATGGAAAATCAGATCTAATTTCGAGGGCAGGAAAATACTTAGTTGTATTATAGTGCATTTTTTTTTTGTGAGTTCGAGTTAAACTAGAAAACAGTGTTAAATTTAAAGTTCAGTACGAAATCCAATCGGTTAAAAAGTTTTAGGTATAGATTTAAATATACATATATTTTTTTAGATGTTATATTTTAAAGAATTCTTAAGAAATTTCTGTTAAAAGTATAAATTTAACACCAGTAGATTAAGAAATTAATTACCCATTAGTATTAGTGTAGGGTGATCTCCGTATGTGAGAAATGAGAGAGTGCTCCCTGAAGCCCTAATAGAGAGCAATAATATGGATTTTGCGGTTTTATACTCCATATTATTCGCTTACGAGCCAAACGGGAGATCTCTCAAACGAACGATAAAAGAATGCCTTTTGAGGCACAATTTGAGAGTAATAAGCGAGATGCGAGAATGTCAGACATTTTCCGCTTAGGGAGCTGCNCAGTACGCTCATACACATAAGTATAGGGAACAATGGGAAGTAATCGTAGATAAGATCGCAAGGGAGTACTCACTGAGCAACCGTACGATGCACCCAAGCGCTACTGGGTATTCTCATTTGATTTTTTTTTGTTTGTCTTTCTTTGAAAGTATTTTTCCTTGTTCGTATTTTGCACGTAAAGATGAAGATGTATCTATATTTATTACTATTATTAGAGACATGTTTTTATACCTATAGTACGTCAGTAAATTGGAAAGATATTTATATAAATAAACAACAGCAAACGGTTTGTGTATCTAGTTTTTAAGCTTATGTTAAATGGTAAAATATGTGAATGTCATATATGTATGTGAAAGGAAATGTATGTAAAATTATATACATGTAATCATAATGATTGTGCATGGATATGTAAACACACATACATACATGCATACATATTTATGTAGTTATATTGAAAAGCTCAACTTTCCCTATCAATTGTCAGCAACGATTAAAATTACTTTACAAATTAATTAAAATTACTTTCACTTGCTATTCTTAAGAAAGAAAGCTGATTAATGTTAAAAAATACATTGTATGCAGAAATGGCTAAATTTGAAATACATACAAACATAATTTATTTGAAACAAATAATTATTTACTTGCGTTTTGTTGTTTCTTACCTAGTGAACTATCGCACCAGAGGTTCCCAAACTTATTTTTCTCGTAGACCCGTTTCAAAGCTTAACTGGTTTCGGTGGACCCCCTTATGCTCATTTCTAACATATTCACAAAGCTAATCAAAAACGTGAAGATTAAATCTAACGATGTAATCTTGCATCGCGGGTGAATTCCAAAACTAAATTCTATCTGCACTTTTTACAAAGATCATCGGTGATATTAATACTGACCTTGTATAACGCTTGACAGAAGAACTTGCTATCAAATTGTAAAGTAGCGACAATTTTCGGATCGCTATCGCACTTTTTGATGCATGATATAAATGTTTTTGCGTCAAAAAGTGCTATAACGATTCGAAAATTGTAGCTAACTGGTTTCAGAATCTTCGCCCAGGTCCTGTACTTCTCAGATCTTCTGGACGATCGTCACATGACCTGGGCGATAAATTCGTTCAAACAATTAAAGTCGCCGCGGACCGATGTCATCATACCTGCGCAGCTGCGAAGGGATCTGAAGCTGTCGTGCAATTGGTTGTATCCTATTTATGCGAACTGCGTTAGACCGGGTACATCCCCAAGGCTTGGAGGGTAGTCAGTGTTGCGTTCAGCCTGAAGGCCGGAAAAGGCGTACGTGTTTCCCCTAGGTATTTTAGGCCACTCATTCCGCCCTATGTTGAATATCGTCATCGGCAGTAAAAGTGACGATACGGCCATCGGCAGCCATGTTACTGATGCGCTGACGATCGTCGACGATAACGATGACGACGGGCGGAATATCTCTTTGTTTTTGCTTAAAACTCTAGAGAGACTGATAGAGAGGAGAGCATACATTGGTAAGGTGGTCAGAGGAACCTTTCTTGCATAAAGATTATGAGTAGGGCCCCTACTTCTACGATATTGAGGGGGCCTTCAACAATGTCACTCCAGAAACAACAGTCAAGCATATTCATAATCCGGGTGTTGAACCCCACCTAATAAGGCGTACTACCGCGGACAGAACTTTCGCGGCAGAGTGGGGACGCGCCTGCACTCAGCGCAGAGTCATTAGAAGCACTCCACAACGTGATGTGCTCTCTCCCCTGCTCCGGATTTCGGTTGTAAACGACGTTCTGGAGAAACTGGAAAAAGTGGGCTGTCGGGTGATCGCCTATGTGACGATGTGGAAATTTTAGAATTTTAGTTAAGGGACGATTTCTAGACACCTTTTTTGATCTGGCTCAAGGTTACCTGAACTAGATAACTTGGTGGGCGATCAACGGCGGCTGCCTAACATTGAGGTAAGGTAAGAAAGCTGTCGGTTGCCCTAAGTAAATACGTAGGCAAAACTTTTAAAAGGTTGAGTGTAAACATACATAGTTTGCACGATAGAAGAAAACCATTTTTTGGGACAAACGAAATCACCTTTTATGGTAACAGAAAGCTAAAAGGGCACGCCTCGGTTCTAGTAATGTATTTTAATCTACACTTATTTTTTTTAATGTCAGTTAGGCTACTCTTGTTCTCAAGGCCTCATATATAAATTTAATTATTGGATGTACATACATATATCGCTCATTAATTTTTTATTTGATTTGCTTTTGCAGCTGTAACGTAGACATACATATATGTACAATTAAGATTAGTTTTACATACTAAATTAAGATAAGTAATTTGACTCTGACACTTTTGGTAAGTTACATATTTGTACCATAATGCTTAGGTACTATATGTATAAACACACATAATTAAAAAATTGCTTTCATTTCCTTAGCACAATATCTTATTATACGTATGCACATATGTAGCTACATATCTATCGTAGTTTCTTTGATAATAATCACATTTTATTGAGCTCATCACAAAGTCTATCTAAATACCACGCTACCGTTAAGTAATCATGCTGGTAAAGCATTTACATAAATTTCTTTAGTCAATATTCATAGCCTAAAGTATTTTTCACTTATGTAATATGTAAATATTAGCATATAATATATGAAGAATATCAAAGTTCATTTCAATAATTTTTATAATAAGTAATAAATATTTTGTTAAACATTTAATATATTGTATTAAGGCAGTGTCACACGATTGGTACATTTGTACAGATTTGTACAGTTTTTATATGGGGCTTTTGGTAAAAAATAAAAAAATTGGCACCACAATATTTTTTTGTAGTCACACGATTGGTACAGTACCGCGAACTTCTATTGAAAAATTGTTTTTCGTAATTGGGATAAACAAAACTATTTGTTCATTCACACAATTGGGATACAATTTGTAACAAATTTTGGGTAAATGCCTAATCGTGTGACACTGTCTTTACACTGGTTTACAGCCAAAATCATATATTCATATTTATTTCTAGGATATATTTAGGTCGCTGATACCGAATATATTCTTCGTTTTTTTTTCAGATTCGTTCTTGTTTGAGATTTATTATAAATTGTGCAATATTTCTATTGTAGAAATTGGATTATATTCTATTTTCTAATACCTTTTGGTATATATTTGTTTACACATAATATTTCTAAAGGGTTTTAAAGTTTTAAGTTCGGGTTGATGCCTTAGGAGGCTAAAATTGTCATCAAACCTTACTTTATCCAAACAAAAAAAATGAGCTCCTTTTGTTCTTGTTACAATTACTTAACATAGTGAAATTAAGTAAAGTTGCAAGGAAGACAAATATCCTTGTTGTGAGACACAAATGGAAGCAATCGTTAATAATCGTTTAGTCAGCATAAAAGACGGGCTGGGCTAGCAGCCATTACTTTGTACTTAGCTTTAGATTTAGATCATGCTGTACATACATATCTAAAATTATTGTTTCTTTACGGAGTGATGAGAAACCTCCATACATAGTAAAATCTTTTGCTGTGAATTTCTTTTAAAGGCTCTTTTTATTTAAGAATGTCACTAATTTTATGCTGTAGTAGATATTTTTAAAATTCAGTAGATGCTTATTCAGTTATCGGCAGACTTTTCTACAATACTGGATTTGAAAAGAAAATGAGTTAGGGCGTTTCAATATTAAGGTAACGATATGTATTTTGGAGCGCATTTTTGTCCTCCCTTGTCTGATTTGGTTTGTAGTTTTCTGTTATATACAGTTCATGCGCCCATATTTACATAAGCTTCCGTTCCTTAGGTTNTAGTGAGTTATCGGCATACTTTTCTACAATACTGGATTTGAAAAGAAAATGAGTTAGGGCGTTTCAATATTAAGGTAACGATATGTATTTTGGAGCGCATTTTTGTCCTCCCTTGTCTGATTTGGTTTATAGTTTTCTGTTATATACAGTTCATGCGCCCATATTTACATAAGCTTCCGTTCCTTAGGTGTTGGTAATTCCAATATTGGAGGATACTTTTTAGATCTGGAGTTACATACATACATATATATGAACAATAGTACATATATTCTGGCGGTTACACATTTTCCCACGCGTTTGGCCGAGCTTCTCCTCCGATTTGTGGCGTAAGCCCTTATGTTGTTACACAAATTTACGCCGCCTGCGAACTGTAAATAGTTTTTATGAAAAGCCTTCTCATGGCAGAAATAGACCGAGAAGCAACAGCTTTTAGAAAACAACTTTTTTTGTTGTCGCTGTGACCAAGAACGAACCTTGGTCCTACCCTGTGGAATTTCGCACCTCTAACCTTTCGGAGACGGCGGCTGTTAATAAACATATACATACAACTTGCAAAAAAACGAATGTTGCGTTCGGAATCAGCGGCCTAAATGGTGCTTAGAAGTATATACATACATACGTACCCTGCAGGCAAAAGTACCGATACTTGACATATGGACGTTTCCAGCGGAAAGTCTACCGCAGGAATTTATTTATGGACCAATTTGACTACTTTCTATAATATAGTATATTGGTGATGTTAGGCAGAAACGAGATATTTTCGAATAGCAGTATTTATAAACAGATCTAGTTCAGCATTTGGCATATGTAGTTGAAACACAATAGCACATAGCCATACAAAAAACAGACCCGCTAGGTGGCGCTTAAGTCAAAATTTAAAATACACTCGACGAAAAATTCGTGTTTAATTTGCGTTAAAACCCGTTTCAAAACAATAGGTCCATTCAATAACTTTTCCAGTAAGTAGTTACTCGCAGCGAGAGCGTAAGAAAAAATTAGAGAGCNATATATGAACAATAGTACATATATTCTGGCGGTTACACATTTTCCCACGCTTTTGGCCGAGCTTCTCCTCCGATTTGTGGCGTAAGCCCTTATGTGGTTACACAAATTTACGCCGCCTCCGAACGGTAAATAGTTTTTATGAAAAGCCTTCTCATGGCAGAAATAGACCGAGAAGCAACAGCTTTTAGTAAACAACTTTTTTTGTTGTCGCTGTGACCAAGAACGAACCTTGGTCCTACCCTGTGGAATTTCGCATCTCTAACCTCTCGGAGACGGCAGCTGTTAATAAACATATACATACAACTTACAAAAAAACGAATGTTGCGTTCGGAATCAGCGGCCTAAATAGTGCTTAGAAGTATATACATACATACATACATAAGAAAAAATTAGAGAGTAAAATTTAGAGCAAGAGAAAATTATCAGAAAAAGTTATTGAACGCGCAAGACTGGTAAAAACTTGCAACTTGCGCTATTTTGACACTTTCTGACGGTTAAGTTTTGGCGAACAATTTTTTTGGATTCGGAATAGTTCCCATCGTCATAAAAAAAAATATACATTCGATTTAAATTGAGTATCCATATTTTCATTTCGCTATTTATGTTTCATCAAATCATCCTCTTAAACACTTTGTTTACGTTTGAATTCGAAACATAACCGTACTTTTTGACTCCTGCAAATTCCTGCCAGTAAAATTTTTACTTGCAGGAATTTGCAGCTCTCTCGGATTGTTACGCTCTTGAATTCGCTCTATCTTGCAAATTTTTTTGGTTATCGAAAGCATTTTCAGTAAAAAGATGCAAGTACTAGCAACAATTCGTAACAATTTTCTGATATTGAATGGACCTAATCTTTACAAAAATTTATACAATGAAAATTTACGTTCCGTAACGTTACGTTAGATATTTTGGGGATAAAAAAACAGGAGAGATTTTTACATTTAAAAACTTTTAAAACTAACCTTAAAATTTCAAATTTTACTGCAAACATTTTATGCAAATAGTCTTGCCCAAGTCAAAATTCACGTCTGTGTTATTGAATATATGTATGTAAGTATTTCAAGTTGAATCACAATATTTATGTACATAAAATATCCGATTAATAACTTTTTCTTAAGTTTATATGTATCTTTATAACTTATATATACTATGCTAAATGTTTTACATAAGTATATAATATACACATACATATGTATGTATACCATATTTTGCGAAATATACATTACTAACTTTATTTCTACAAGTATATACGTGTAAATATGTTTGCGTTTTTTGTAATTCATATTTACTATTTTTTGGTCTCATACTATTTCTATCTATTGTACTTTAATCCAATAAGGTACGAACAGTTTCTAGTCACTAAATGACTTATGTTCATCAAATTCAATAACTTTTTTAATCATCTTAACCAATTCTTTGTAAAGAATACAATCTCTGCCGCGTGGTTTGCAAATTTCACGATGATCCAAGCGTATGCCGCACACATCACCAAAGCCAGGATCTGTCAATAATGCAAGGACAAGTTTATAAGAACCGACAATTAAATAAACAAATGAATTTAGGACAAAACTGTCAGCATTCCACACTTTATATATCCTACTCACCTGCCGAATCCACGCCCACAATGCGCAGATAGAGCACAGACATCAGCGTTAATGCAGTCTCCACAAAGCTAAACACCTCAATTTTAATATGACCCAAGTGATATAGACCCGCAAAGCGTCTATGCAAATCCAATAAATATTTGTTATCTGGAAATGAAAATATTAGTGGGTTTCTTATTTTTAGGACAACAAACGTGGCTCACTCACTTTTCTCAATATCCAGCATCTCGATGGATCGCGCTAGGAGCGGCGCCTTAATGCAAGCCAAATGAGAGCCACGATGCGGCACCGAATAGAAGAATACACCGCGTGAGGAACGCCATAAAGGCGCCACAGCCGGTCGTCCACTCTCCCATGCGTCGACAATGATTTGCTTAATAAACAGGCCACCCTTAGAATGGCCCACCCACACGATCGGCTGACCATACCCGATACGATGCTTGATCAGCAGCTCAGTCATTTCGCGTGCACGTTCAATTAGATTAGATCGTGGTTCCTTCTTTTTCCATAGTGGTCGCCACAAGTATTGATCGGTGGTGTAGTTAAGCGCTATGACACGAACACTAGGACAGTCTAGGGGCAGCCAATCAGCAGGCCAGCACTTGGAATAATTCGGATCATCGGAAGTGGGTTTGGTTGAATTTTTGAGCTTGCTGCCGCTGTTCGCCTGCTGTTGTGGCGGCTGCAAGTGTGGGGCATTGTCATTCGCAGCGCTTTCTTGCATCTTTTCGAACTCAGCCTGCAGTTGACGGCCATTGTCGTTCAGACGTAAGCGGAATGTGGGAAAACTGTATTCGATGCCATCACAGTTTTTTACATCTTGTGGTGCGCCACAAACATAGGAAATACTGAAAAATTTCAAAAGAATGAATTATAAATTTTTACATACGAACTTCATAATTACCGTACCCATTTCTTAATTCTTGTTCAGTTGCGTCGAAGAAACCATCATCCAAATCTTTAACTTCAGCATACTCCATTTGCTCTTGTGTTGCCCGCTGATTGGAGTCGCTGTGCGCGAATCGCGCGCGTTTTTGCTTGTGTGGTGGATGCAACAAGACCGCGCGTGAATGCTTTGGCCGTTTAGGTGGTCGTACTGGTGGTTTTGGTGGCCGTTCGAAACCTTCCGGTTGACGTTCGTTCTCCCATAATCCCTGCTTCCATGTATTTACCAAAGAACCATGCAGCCCGTGTATGAAGACAATGTCGGCGCGTATGGGCTCTCCTGGTGGCGGTTCTGCCAGCACCTTTAATGTACAGCATTTTGGCGCGGGCGTCTGTGGTATTGTGGTTTTTCGCTTGCTGGTAGAAAAAGCAGGCATCACTCCCGAAGGTTCGCGAAATGAAGGTGAAAGAAATGACATAGTAGGAGTGCTAGGCGTTTTTGTAGTCGGCGGCGGTGTAGATATTGGGGAGGTGGGAAACCAGGATATACTGTTAATAGACGGCGTATCTGGTAGACTTTCAATACCATCGGGGGACTTACGTATTTTGAGAAGCTTCAGAATTGGATCGATACGTTGAGAAACTGTAAAATGTAAAATGTTTATGAGTAAGAGTTTTTAATTGCGGCTAGATTTTTGGAGACTACGCTCCGAATGTGTACATAAAAATGTCTATTTGTTGTGGAACGTCAAAGAGCCACATATACATAGTTATCCGCGTAAGAAGCATGGTGCACTGAAATATACACCGGCCACATTAACCGTTTGACCCTGCGCCTTATTTATGCAAAACAAACTTTTACCAGAAATTAAAATTTTATTGAAATTTATTAGACTAATCTGTAGGAACCATGGGTATTGTCTTCACTAAAGCATCTAACAAACAAAAAAATATGTATATTGTGAAGAAAGGGCGTATAATAAATGAATGTAAATTAATTTTCTGTTTTTATCTTTCTCAACATCTTCTCGCTACAGCAAGTCATTTGCAATACCTATTGCCCTTACTCCAGAGGAAACCAAGACCTTTCATTTCACATCTCATCTTTTTCATGAAACGAACGGTGTGGATATATATTTTTTGAGACAGGCGGTAACCCTAAACCCCAAATATAAAACTTTATTGCATATCTCAAGGTAAACATTTTTAAATAGAAGGTAACCCCACTAGAAAAAATTAAAGTTTATTGCACATATATGTATGTATGTTCACTTAGTATCTCATATTTTAGTCCAACGAACTTTGAATATCTTGGAATCTTGAAAAAGATGGTACCCCTGCTCACAAATTAATAAATAGTAGTCAATCTCTTTCGTTTGACACCTATTTGAAAAGGATGGCAACCCCACTAACAAATGAATACATTAAGCTCTACCCAGAATTACAGCGGACGGCGCACAATGGGGCAAGAAAGATTGCTGTGGATAAATTAATTTTGAGAGCCCAAATGTGAACCGATTTCAAGTCTCTTTTTTTTAATAAGAGCACATTAAATTTACCGTCGATCTGTCTGTGGCGATTTTTTGAAAAATGAAAGAAAAAAAATTTTACGTTTGAATGCTTCCAATTTTTTGGCAAATACTTGACAGGAATTTTAAATGCCTACAATATTTAATAAACTATTAATTTTTTTTTCTTAATTTTTTAACATAAATAAATAAAAAACCAGAACTTTTTTAAAAGATAGCCACGGATAGATCGACGCGAAATTTAACTATGTTTTATTAAAAAAAAAAAAAGAAATTTGAAATCGGTTCATATTTGGGCTCTCAAAATTAATTTGTCCACAGCAACCTTTTTTGCCCACTGTACGGTGGTAAAGCGGTCGGCGGTAGGTGAACAGCTGTACAGTTGCTGCAGTGAATCCGTCAGAGTAAACACAATTGCAACGCACGACGGCTTTGACAACTGACTAATTTTGATTTGAAAATTAAATATTTTTGTTTGTTTGTGCGTGTGTGTAGATTTGCTGGAAATGAAAATGGATAAACTTGTGAAAATAATAAAAAAACAAGTGAGAGCAGCGCTGTCTTCGGCTATGCCGAAGGCTTCATACCTTTCATGAACATCTGCAAATTTTACTTTGACAGATTACTGCTTTTGAATACATCTGCATACATCGATAGAGGAGTTACATACTTATATAAAAAATCGCATCTAAACAATCAGAGGTATG